CAAATCGTCTAACTTCCCGATCGGTCACCCATCCCTCTCACTACTCCAGCCTGAGCACGCTTAACTTCCGGGTTCTATTCTCCCTCATTTCCAAGTCTGCACTTGTTGTTTTCCTAACAATAGTAAGATGTGAATCCTATTAACCCTCAGGAGTTTAGCTTGAGCATGAAGTCACACGTTTCACTGTTTGAGTTTGAAACTATTATTCTAAAAAACAATAATTATGTAGTAACATTAATATTTCTTGAATAAGTAGTTTGACCATAGTTTGACCAGATTTGACCAAAATTCAAAAAACTGAGATACTTATTTAGTAACACTAATATTATTGCGTAATTATTTAGTAACACTCTATATTTCTTGAATCAGTTGTTTGACCGGTTTGACAAGATTTAACCAAAATTCAAAAAAAAACATAAATTAGAGCATATCTTTTTTTTCCTTTTACAATTTTGTCATTTCAAAAATTGTCCTAAACCCTAAACCCGGGACTTAAAACGTCGGAAACTCTATGCTAAATAGTAAAAAAATAAGGGTTTAAACCATAAAACCTAACCCTAAACTCTGAAATCTAAACCCTAGCACTAAACGCTAAAAACGTCTAAAAACGTCTAAAACGCCCAAAAACTCTATTTTCCCTTTGGAATTTTGTGATTTTAAAAAATTGTCGAAACGGAAAACTTGTTGTTTCAGCGGATCAATCTCTTTGTTCTGCAAATTTTAATATATTATATGTATTTTTCTGAATTAGGATGATTTAGTTATGATTTTTTCAAGTTTGAAAATTGCCCTATAGTCCCGGTTTGTGTCTCCAACCGGGACTATAGGTTAGACCCCCTTAGTGCCGGTTCGTGGCACGAACCGGTACTAAAGGTTGGCCCTTTAGTACCGGTTTGTGCCACAAACCGGGACTAAAGGGGCTTGTGGGGCCCCGGCCTGACGCCAGCCTGCCACCACCCCTTTAGTACCGGTTCGTGGCACAAACCGATACTAAAGGTTCAACCCGAACCGTCACTAATGCATAGCCGTTCGAACCGGTACTAATGATACCATTAGTACCGGGCCAAAATCGAACCGGGACTGATGTGTCTCGCATAAGGTCCTTTTTCTACTAGTGACTCTGCAGTTCGACGATCCCTCCAGCTCGGCGGGGCACTTCTCAGGCCGCGGCCATGCTGACCGGGCGCCCCAACCCTCACTTCTTCGCACCTCCGAGCCATCAGCCACGGCGCTCCGACTCAGACACCACTCCGATTTGCCAAACTGGACTTCGCCACCAATGACGACATGGAGGACCCCCTCAACTGGCTCAACCAGTGCGAGCAGTTCTTTCGCGGGCAGCGCACCCTCGCCTCGGAGCGTACCTGGCTCGCCTCCTACCACCTTCGAGGTGCAGCACAGACCTGGTACTACACCCTCGAGCAGGACGAGGCAGCATGCCCCCTTGGGAGCACTTCTGCGAGCTCTGCCTCCTTCGTTTTGGGCCACCGATCCGCGGGAGCCGCCTGGCAGAGCTTGGCCGCCTTCCCTTCACCTCCATGTTTCAGGACTTCACCGACCGTTTCCAGGCCCTGGCTTGCCACGCGTCGGGCGTGACGGCGCAGCAGCGGGCCGACCTCTTCGTGGGTGGTCTTTCGGATCACATCCGCATGGATGTGGAGCTTCGGGGACCCCGGGATCTCCAGACGGCCATGTACTACGCCCGCGCGTTCGAGCGCCGCGGGATGGCCATCCAGCAGGCGTCACCGTCCCATGCCGCTGGCCTGCCACCCTGGCCGGACGTTCCTGCGCAGGGTCGTCCTGCTCAGGCTTCCGCCACACCCCTCGCCGCGACCGCGGCGCGTTCATTCCGCCGGCTCAGCACGACCGAGCAACTCGAGCATCGCCGCAAAGGTTGTGCTTCAACTGCAACGAGCCCTACGAGCCAGCCACATCTACCCGCGACTCTTCTATGTGGAGGCTGCAGACTTCATGGAGGAGGACGTCGCCGCCGCCGGGCTCAGCGACCTACCCGCCCCAGCTGTCGCAGAGGTGTTTGGCGACGGTTGATCAGCTCGAGGAGTTCCTCAAGCGCTTCCCCGCCTTCCAGCTCGAGGACGACCTGTTTGTGCAGGGGGGAGAAGTGTTATGACTGGCGTATTAGGGGCTTAGCCCAGTCAGTTGTGGCCCAGTCTATCTTATTGTTATTAGGGGCTTAGCCCAATTATCGTTATTAGGTGCTTGGGAGTCAAGTAAACCTCTCTATATAAGGAGAGAAGATGTATCAATCAAAGTCAGAAAAGAAGCAATCATAATTGCTCGGCTTCTTAGGGAGCCAGGAGACCTAACCCTAGCCGCCTTCTTCCCTGCGCCATCTCCCTCTCAGCCGCCGCCTCCTCGCGCATGACGACGCCCAGCCACCGGCCGCCGCGAGTTCGCCCACGACCAACTCCCTCCTTCCCCTACAACCTCCGGCCTAGACCCGGTAGAACCCAAGTTTCTAACAATGCAAAGAAAATACACTGCATTTTCTTTGTATAATCCTACTGATTCAGTCATGTGGATATTTGCTAGCACGGGTTTCGTTTTGAAATTCCCTTTTTCCTGGTCTGAAATTTTAGGGGTATACGAGTATAGTGTTATTGAGATTGGAGAACACCAACGTGCACTATAAAATAGGAGACAGCTATTGTATGTTTTTGTCGAATGGTGCATCGACACATTGCATGAGAGCAATGTCAACCACAGATTGTGAAACCAGTGTGTTCGGGTTATTGGGAAAATGGTTTGTCGGTTATCGTTACGTGTGCTGGATCCAAATTCACCATTCTGCAACACGGCGGCAGATGCCATTCCAAGAGTTGATTTCCCTTGTTTTAACAGAGATAATCAGAAATTTTGAAAGGAATCATGTGAATCTTCACATTGTAGAACGTGCACCCCGAGTTTTGGATAAATATGGGCACAGTGCACTTAACGGGCAATACAACTCTGTGGCTTGAATCTAAAAAGCTGCAGATGCTCAACATCATTGGCTGAACATGTTCACTAGGTTGCAGTTTTGAGATTTTGCAATAGGACTGAAGTCCTTAGTTCGCAACGAAGCTAATGTACTTTTAGACTGTTGTTGTTGGGGTGAAACCTGTAGAATGTGGGAAGAAGTGCAAAGGAAGTATTCTGCAAAAAAAAAAATTAGTCATCCTAATGGCATCCTGATGGGACTGTTTAAATCGTCTACTTTTCCAGTCTGAAATCCCAGGAGGGGTCTTCTCCTCGGTTTCACTTGAAATGTGGATGTTCATTTGAAGATCAAGTATATGTTCTCGTACCGATGAGAATTTATTTGGGTGCCAGGTGAACAATTTCAGCAACAAAACTCGAAAGCCGGTAGTGGCTCTGTCGAAGTGGAATACAATAAATGTGTCTTATTGTCAGCATATTTTACCTAATTATTCTCTCACCGTCATTCATTCAATTTTCAGCTTGATTCGTGCTCTGCTCTTTTTCCGGATGAGCAAAGCAAGGAGGAGCCCTCAAAGGCTGGACTCCGGTGGCAAGGAGCAGAATTTTTGGACCTCTAGCATCCCTTCCTCATTTACATCCTTGTGTTCTTCTCGCGACTTCAGCGCATGTTAGTTTATGAATCAACGTTTTACATCTAACAAACCCGTTTTGGCTTATGTAGGTTGTATGTTTGATTGATGCCTTCACGCTGATGTGGACTGAAGCTTGTTCTTCAATCTTCATATTCATAAGAAAAGAAACAAGAAAATATGTTGGCAGTCATTAAATTCTCTCCACAGATTTGTAGACAGTTAGTAAAGTCATGACTTTAGTTGTGAACAGTTAGCTCAGTGATTCTCCCAAAAAGTTGGGCAAATCGTTCTCCCAAAAAGACAGCAACTAGGAAGAACGAGACATGAAGATAGCTCAGTGATTCTTCTTGTCTGGTTTACATATGTAATCATACTGTAAAGATATTTGGCCCTGGAGGTCTTCTTTGTTGTACAACTTGTGCTTAAATTTAAGCAAGAGCCCTCGCATTCTGGAGGCAAAGATTAATGACCTCTACTTTTTGGACGCCTAATCATATCCCAGGACGTTGCGATCCACTGACTGATGATTTCCTCCAAACAAAATGCAGACAAACTGCACATAATTTGGAAGAGATACATGAACATCGCACTTTTAGACACATCTGCTACCCTTGTCGCACTTTATCTGCGACTGCGGTGAACATCTGACAAAGAGAAAAACAAAGACCAAACGGTGTACTTTCTTATGTTGGAAGGAAATACAAATAATTTTGCATAGGGAAAATAAGATAACGCTACAAGCAGCAAAAATAAGATACCCCTCAGCTCTCCCATTATACTAATGAGTTTACAGCATGGCTTTTCAATTTCAACCCAGGGACGAAAAACCCCTCAGCTTGTTCTGCTGGAGGTCTTCTCTTGTTCATGAATTTGAGCAAGAGCCCTTGATTTTTATTTTATTTTTGAGATGAAGAGCCCTTGATTCTGGAGGTGAAGATTGATGACCTCTACTTTTTGGACACCTGATCATACCCTCCCAGGACGTCAGGTATTGGCTGCTCTCCGTGCTGATCATATCCCAAGTGCAATGATGATGATTTTCTCCAAACAAAATGCACATAATTTGGAAGAGATACATGAACATCAAACTTTTAAACACATCAGTCACACTTGACGCACTTTATCTGCGAGGAACACTCGAGAACGAGAAAAACAAAGACCAAGATGTACTTAGAATTTTGCATAGGGGAAAAAAGATAATGCTACAAGCAGGAAAAATAAGACATCCCACAGTTTTCCCATTGCACTAATGAGTTTACACCATGACTTGTCAATTTCAACCGTGGGACGAACAGACCCTGTGCTTAAGAGATTACAGTGCCCCTACAGATCAGGTAGGCACAGATAATATAAAATAAGAAAATATAAGCGGCTCGCAGGCACGCTCCGTTACAAGAACTGGTATTGAGTCACTCCATCGCTGGGTTACAGTCTTGTAAGACTTGGTGTTATCCATATGGGATTAGGCCAGTTGGACCAAGGCTGAGGGGACACAAGTTCCTCACAAGTGTTATTTGCCAAGTCACAGATTCCAATATCACGACGGTTATTCTTCCATCCAAAAAGATACAGTTCGCAATCATCTGTAAAATAGGCATGGTTTGCTTTCAGATGTGGATACTCTTCAACACTTAGACAAAGTGTTTGGTTGTGCCCAAGAAGCAACACATGATCATCCAAGCTATCTATTCCCACAAGCTTTTCAGCCGTGGTTTCAACTTTAAATATCTTGATATCTCTGGTATTAGTCAGATCTATTGCAGGGCCAGCATCTTCAACATACTGACTAGCCTCTTGGGTTCTCCAGACTTGAAGTAGACCGCCACATGGAGCCTGGACAATGTAAATATTTTCATCTAAAATGTCTTTCGCAATGTCCATGATTAACTCCGTTGTGACCACAGGACCTCTGAGATTGAAGGCGAGAATTTTCCCTTGTGCTGTCACTGCATATAATAGGCCATCCTTATAGATGCAGTCATGAAAAAAAGAGTGCTGTGGCAGCCAGGTCCACTTGTCATCCCCTAACCTAGCAAACGAAAGCTGCCCGAATGGATTGTGGATAAGCACCACGATATGTCCACCTGCAGATGCATCATAAAATACAAATGCCTTTACATAGAGGTAGCTCCGTAGCTCGTCAAGAGCAAGGATTGAAGGTCGGTCAGCAGTACAGAGCCCATATGGCCCATATGTGTGTCGCGAGTAATGGTACTCACATAAGGCACCTGCTTCATCAAAAATGGGGGTCACATGCTCGATGGTGATCACCAACGGGAGAGCAATCTGTTGACAGGTGATTGGATTCAGAAGATGCATCTCAGACCTCTCATCAGCAGTGACCAGCCAGCCATTTGTGGAGCCGATCAGATGCCTACTGCGGATAGGTGGCTCCGGGAGAGTCAACTTGTATGACCTCTTCTCTGCGAGGCTGTAGAGGAAGGCAACACTCTCACCAGCAGATTCAGAGGTGTAGAACAGGCATGGCGTCTGGGGCCGCTTGTACAGCCCAAGGCTGCATAGGCTGGTATAAACTGAGCGCCAGGAGGAGCAGACGGAGCTGGCACGCTTCAGGTCGGGAATATCTAGGAGGGCAAATATATCCACGAGGAGTTCGTGCGGCAGCTCCGGCAATCCGCCTACTTCACTCTCCATGTGTGGTGGATGAATATGCTCATGTTTGAGGAATTTCTTCAGTAAACTGGGGGGGAGACCAAGCAGCTTGAGCAAAACTCTGAAGACCTGAGACAAGAACATCCTTGGGTGTGTGGGTAAACTCCATAAACCAATTGTCCTGGCTAAGCTACAAGCCTCCATTGAAGCGAAACTTTGATCCCCACCTACGAACGGAAGATGAATTTGCTTCGGTGGTGCTTGGAAAGCTGCAACCTCTGATCTGATCCCCACCTAGCTGAAGCTGCAACCTTTGATTTGATACTCCGGGGTCGGAGGGCCTGGGTACTTATGTGGAGGCCTCAGCACTGATTCGAGTAGGTTTTGGCAATCCGAGTCCGAAAACGCCACTGGTATCGCCCGGATTCCTTCTTCATTGGATCCTTGTCGGTTCAGACTTTGAATCGAACAACAACTCTTCTCTTCTACAAGCGGGCTCCGATTCGGAAAGATGGAAGAGGACAAGTACCCGCGGAACGCCTGTAGCTTGAGGACCGCTTCGGCCACCAACGGCGGCGAGCTGGGGCTTCGTGCAGCCGCCGTCGTCCGTCGCCGGCAGCCGCCGTAACAGAGAGGCGGGCGGTGGGCGTGGGATTATGTGATGTGGAGCGGTGGGCGAGGCTGGGGGAGAGGGGGTAGCAGTGGAGAAAGATGGGAAGGTGGGGACTCGTCGGCGGCAGTTCCTTGCCGGGCGGCGGCGGCGGCGGCGGCGGGTAGTACTGGTTACAGTGGGAGCGGCTCGGGTCACATACCTAAGCAGTTGGTCGCGTCCAGCCAGCCTAGTAAATTCCAAATGAGCCCGAACTAAACTGTGCAACAATTAGCGAAAAGTCAGTATATACTTTACAAAGGACGCGTCTACTAGCGCTCCAACCCACGAACATTTTTCAAAATTCGCGAAGATATTTTTAAATTGTGAACTTTTGTTAACAAACAGTCATTTTTTGAACTTGACGGACAAAATTCATGAACATTTTCTAAAATTCTTGAACTTTTTTCCAACTCCCGGACATTTTTGAAAATTCATTAACATTTTTGAACCCGCGAGCGTAGTTTTTCAAAATTTGGAACACTTTTTTTAAATCCGAGAACATTTTCCAAATTCTAAAGCATGTTTTGGAATATTTTTTTAATTCCAAACATTTTTTAAATCCATGAACACTTTCTGAAATTCATGAACGTTCTTTCAAACTGGTGAATATTTTTGGAAATTCAGAACATTTTTTGGAAATCTAATAACATTTTTTTTCAAATTCGTGAATATTTTTGGAAATCCAAGAGCATTTTCCAAATTCTGAAAACATTTTTCCAGTTCCTTAAGATCTTTTGAACATTTATAAAGAACAAAAATGAACATTTATAAAGAACAAAAATGAAAAACAAGAAAGTGTAAAAAGGGAAAAGCAAAAAAATGAAA